ATGGTCTTCTCAATAATGACAATTTTTTCGATAACTCAGCCATTTCTTGACGGATCCTGCTCATCTTCGAACTCGACCGAGACATTGTTAAGACTGAACTTTGTGGAAAATTTCATCGTGATTGGACTCTTCTTTCAAAAGTTATCGTGTAAACGGCCGGACGGCCGGACACACTGACCGATTCTAGAGTGTACTCCCTTTTTGAGTACACAAAAAGGAAACAAAATTCAATCGTCGTTCAAACAAGATATAACTACAAAAACCAATCAACATACTGTTTTTTTTTCTAAGCAAAAATTGAACGAGAAAGTATCATTTTAACAAGATCATTTATTTATCTGTAAAGTCAGATATTTGTAAACATTAATCTTCGACTAATTTATTTGAAAAGATCAAATACTTTTTTTTTAATATATAATGTGTGGACAATTTCAAATTTGGGTAAAGTTTTGTTTTTGGCGTGTTTTCTAATTTTTACAATATTCGAACAATATTTTTGCAGCGCAGCTGAGATTAAAAAAAAAAGAAAAGGATATCATACTACGATGAATATTTATCTGATATTCTTTTTTTTTTTGATTTTACACATCATATGATCAGGAAAATGTATATGCATGATTGGTGAAAAATATTATTTCATTGTTGAGAAAATCGATTCTTCGATATGATAGAATATAAATACCATGTAAATTAACGATTCGTATTCAAAGATTTCAACCATTAGAAGTTTTATTTCAAATGAAAACAATATCATATTAAGAATTATCAGAAAAGTCTGTGACGAAGAGAATGCTCAATAGTTGAACCAAGTTTTCGTCGAATTTTGATCATGTCGCCTTCTCACTGTTATTTTCGAATAATCTTATCTATGGTTATCCAAAGATCAAAATTTGATCAAGACTTATTTTAACTATTGAGTATCCTATTCGATGGAGATTTTGCTTACTGATTATAAATACGAACTCTTATTTATGACGTCTGTATATAATGTTGAAAAATCGATTTTCTCAACAATGAAACAATATCTTTCATAAACTATGCATAAACGTTTTCCCAATCATATGATTTTTAAAATAAAAAAGAAATATCAGATAAATATCTATTTTAGCAATACATGCTTTTTCTGATTTTTTTTAGAATCTAAGTTTCCCTGCAAAAATATTGTTCGAATAATTCAAAACTCGAGAAGCTCTATTTAACCATGATAAAAAGGCCAAAAATAAAATTTCACTCTAAGTCTACCACTGTCGACACTTTACAAAAACATGCAGACGGTACTTTGGATGATAATTTTTTCTTTTCTTTGTGAATAGTTTAAGGATTTAAAAAGCTTGAAAAATGCTCTTTATTATAAAGATTTGTATGAATGAAAAGTAGATAAATATTATCAAAGACTATATTGACTCATACGTAATAGTAGAAATAAAATCTTTCTAGTAAATATTTTTGATATATAAAAACAATCAGCATCTTTGAATTTTCTTTAAAGAATAATTTCGATATAGAACATATATGATTATCTATTATTGGATAAGGAGGACATTATTTTGACAAAAATGTGTCATTTCACTTATGGTGGTTTTAATTTAAAGAAATAGAATTGTTAGAAAAGAATACTTTTATTCATCCCAGATATGCAAATATAATCAGGAAAAATAAATAAATATCTTTTCAAAAGTAAGTCTTTCTCTCGCTCTTGTTTATTTATCCAATTTAGCATACGATAATGCTTAATTAGTATTTTCTGTGAAAAGATGAAATAGACACAAGTGTGGATGTGGCGGGTGTCCCACGGAAAATTTTGTTTAGAAAAATCGCTTGAAATCACGGTTGGGAGCGGTTTTTCGCAACCGCGGTTCTCTGAAATCGCGTTGCACATATTCACAACCGCGGTACTCAACGGTCTTAAAATCTACGGTATGATAATTGAAAACTGCGGTATTTAACACCACGGTATTCAACGGTTTTTGAAACCGCAGTGTAGTCTTCAGTTACCGCGGTGATAAATACCGTCGTATTCAACGATTTTGAAAACCTCGATGTAATCATCAGTAACCGGGATGATAGATACTGTGGCATTCAACGGTCTTAAAAATCGCGGTATAATCGTTAGTAATCGCGGTGGTGAGTACCGCGGTATTCAAGGGTTTGTAAAACCGCGGTATAGTCATCAGTAGCCCTGGTGATAAATACCGCGGTATTCAACAGCTTAAGAAACCGCGGTATGGTCATCAATAACAGTGGTAGTATTTTGTCAAGTGATTTATTGAATACAGCAGAAATGAGAGTGCTATAAAAATTATTATAGGCAACATCTTTTTTGTTGTTAAATTGATGACTTTATTCAATACTTCATATTTCGGTCACATTCATTCGACCATTGTCAAAAGTAGATGCTGTAGGTATTTTCCCATGTCGCCTCTCTTTTACCAACTCCGTCGCAGTTACGCGTAACTGCGCGTAACTACGACGCATTGGTCGCAGTGAAAAAATCTAGCAGAAACTATGGTTACTGCCACGCAGACCAACGTAATTGCGTCATAGTGATCGCATCGTACGATCCTTTGTAACCGTAACTGACCAATTATAAATGCTTACTACTTATTTGTAATTGGTCACATTCCAGCACTAAAACTTAGCCACACAAAGTCAGTATAAAAAGCAGTGCTCATGCGACTTTGGTTCATAACTTATTCTACTACAAAAAGTAGAACATATAGGGTGTCCAGTAAGTAACTCCACAAAGAAAAAGTTGAATATCTTCATTACAACTCGACCAAACGGGCTCATTTTTTTACCAAGGATAGAGGCATGTTCACATTTCAAATCCATACGGACAAGGTTAGTGGGAGCCTTTGCAAAGTATCACTATTGACCTCAACAAGAAAATTTTACT